GTAAAATACTTCTGACAGCTTCTGAGCCTAAAATACACTATGGAGCTTGTTCGGTTTGAACTGCCATGGAAGCAGTTTGAAAAATTGAAGTTCAAAATGAAAGGGGATTTTCTGTGCTGAGTTAATCACAAAAATTTTCAGAAGTTGATAACATTCATAAATATTTATAGTATTTAAAAATTTTACTGCTATTTTCCTTTCCTGTGTATGACCAGAGTTACTTCTCTCACTTCTTTTCATTCTTGTAAAAGACACAGTATTTCTCTTTGAAACTTGTATCCAGCCTCTTTCTCAGTCTACTCCACTATTGGTGTCCTTAAAATCACTTGAAAGTAACCCTGCTCTTCTAACTTTCATCCCTTTTTCCTGATCATAGAACCTCAGGTTCAAGAGACATTTATCCCCATGCTTAAAAGTATTTTATTATTTCTACACCTGAAATTTCTTGAGAAGCTATGACATTCTTCTTAATTTTTACTTCTTTTGGGGGTTCCTATCTCACTTTCTATAACTTTATTCTCCCTCATGGTGTTAGCTTTACTCCCAGCCTTCACACTAAACCAGCATCTTATTAACACACACACACACACACACAAACACACACACACACACACACACACACCAATACTACCCACACTGGTTATTCTTCTGTGAGCTATTGGGAGATTTTCACAGGGTTTTAAATCACAACTGTCTTATGCTGGGCTTATGAGACACCTATCTGGAAGGTTCATAACGCTCAACATGTCTTCAATAAAAGAGATTGCAAACTAGCATCTGAGACTTGTCAGCGTCCAATAAAAGTTATTGCTTGAGAATAGCATTACAGCTTTCTTACCTAAAGACTGTGTATGATTTTCTGAAGTCTATTTGTGTGTCTGTCAGTATCATTCTGTGATTAAAAACAAACTTATCTATAATAATAAAAGCGTAATATGCTAATTAGACCAGACGTCCTTCCGGATGTCCTTCTGGGACAAAGCCCACGCTACAACTGCGGGATCGAGGCAGCCGCCTCAGCTGCGATGGAGGGATTGAGGCCACCGTGGCTATGAAGGCCTACTCTTGCATGAATTTTGTGCGCAGAGCCTCTGGTGTTCTAATATTAGTAACTGAGTGAAAAGTTGTAGAAGTAAATTAAAATAACTCAGTGTTTGCCCGACTTCCGGGGCTCAGTGGTTGAGCATCAACCTATGAAACAGGGGGTCATGGTTCGATTCCAGGTCAGGGCACATGCCCAGGTTGCTGGCTTGATCCCTAGTGGGTTGTGTGCAGGAGGCAGCCAATCAATGATTTTCTCTCATCATTGATGTTTCTGTCTCTATCTCCATCTCCATTCCTCTCTGAAATCAATACGAAAAATATATTAAAAAAATAACTGAATCTTTCTGTCTTCAGGAAAATGACCACTTGTACCATTTCACAGAAATAAAAACTTTCTCCAACATATTTCTGACTCATTCACATTATTGGTGTTCTATCTCTAGTTATATGAGCAAGCTTGCTTTTCCCTCCAACACTTGAATCTCCTGGGGAAAGTCCTTTAGTATATTTAATTGATTTAGGTAAAATGTAGCAATTAGTTTTAAATCTTTTTTTGGAAACTTTGACACAGCCCAAGATAGAAGAAATAATAAAACCATTTGTTCATATTTGGACAATGTTTTAGAACACATTAACTTCTTGGAACTAGCTTTTGAAATACCTTGTATTGAAAATTAATGGCAAGTTTTGCTGATAGGCTGTGAGTCTTGAGTCAAAGACCATTTGGGATTAATAAAAATACACATTGATCTGATTAACTTGATCAAATGTGATACTTTCATTTCCATAACCAGGCCTTCCATATAATAAAAATAGTTATAGCAAAAATTAAGACAAAATTAATAAAGCTATTAAACCTAACCAGATTCTTGTGAGCAAAAAAATCATAATTCTGCAACATTTCTTAATTAGCACTTTTTCTACCATTATTTATTCAAAAGGTATGCTTCTTGACTTTCTAATTTGAAATAGGAGAGAAAATATTAAGATTTCATGGATGAAACTTTAAAGTATTTTCTACAATCTTTTTTTAAAATATATTTTATTGTTTTTTTTACAGAGAGGAAGGGAGAGAGATAGAGAGTTAGAAACAGCGATCAGCTTCCTCCTGCACACTCCCCACTGGGGATGTGCCCACAACCAAGGTACATGCCCTTGACTGGAATCGAACCTGGGACCCTTCAGCTCAATCCACTGAGCCAAACTAGTCAGGGCTCTACAATCTTGATTACTCCTTGCTTATCTTTATTTTTGTGTTTATTTTCAGAAATTGATGCAATGTAAAAATATTGCTTTTATTATTTATAAAAAACTTTAATTATAGCATTAAAATGTCACAATATATTCCACTTCCAGGTAGCACAGCAGATAATGCACCATCTTCCTCTACTATGTCTTGTTTCCAATAGTCTATAGTCAATGAAGGCCCTTGGAGAAACAACTCTCTCTCAGTCAAGATCAATTATGTGACTCCATTAAAAATGCTGAGAAAAGTGCAGTTATATAGACTATAAATTAATGATACTTCTTGGAAGCAGAGCATTAACAACATAAATATTAGAAGAGACATCTTTCTCATCAATAGTTAGGGGCTGTGGATTTCCCCAACACAAATGAAAATTTTAAACCTGCTTTGTTGAATTTGTGTTTATTTTTAGACTAGTTCCCTCTTTCTATCCACATCTTACTCCAAAACCAGGGGTTTGGTACTGTATGAGTGAAACCGTTCCACTTTAAAAAATGTTTTTATTTATTTCAGAGAGGAAGGGGGAGGGAGAGAGAGACAGAAACATCAATGATGAGATAGAACCATTGATCGGCTGCCTCCTGCACGCCTCACACTGGGGATCGAGCCTGCAACCTGGGCATGTGCCCTGACAAGAAATCAAACCTTGACCTCCTGTTTCATAGGTCAACACTCAACCACTGAGCCAAGTCGGCCAGGCTAACCCTTTCACTTTTTCATAACAATACATAAGGTTAAACCTGTAGCAATACTTGCTCTTTTTGGAGATCCTAAGAAGAGGTATGAAATGTATTTATTTAAGCCAACACTGTCACTCCATTTGTTCCACCACTATCTTTTTTTTTTTAAATATATTTTATTGATTTTTTACAGAGAGGAAGGGAGAGAGATAGAGAGTTAGAAACATCGATGAGAGAGAGACATCGATCAGCTGCCTCCTGCACATCTCCTACTGGGGATGTGCCCGCAACCCAGGCACATGCCCTTGACCGGAATCGAACCTGGGACCTTTCAGTCCGCAGGCCGACGCTCCATCCACTGAGCCAAGCTGGTTTCGGCTGTTCCACCACTATCTTAAATTTTTCAGAGAGTCTTCTCTTTTCATTGTAATAACCAAGACAATTCATCTTAGAGAAATATTGCATCCCCTTAAAAAGGTGGAAAATGTACATTTCCTTTCAATATTAGGAATCACGGTTTAGAATGCAAGATAGTAGAGAGGTAAATTGAATAAATTCATTATTTCCTAGTCCCCTTGTTTACCTGATTTGAATGCATGCATGTGAACAATGTTTTTGGAAATGTGAGGCTAAACAAACTGATTTATGGTCCCATCCTCTGATTTCTACATCATTTCCTTCATTTATCTTCCAAGTGCTAGTACATTCATGAAGCACCATGATTACCCAGACCCCTTACTCTAGCACCCACCAAAGCTTGCCATCTTTGAGAGTGCACATTGTGATAGCTTTGTAATGTACTGATTTGGCTAGGCTGAAATAAATCTCCCAGAATTCCATTTTCTCATGAATCCAGTTAGAGAAGACTACAAGAGATTCTTTCACACTAATAGGAGAATGGAAGGGAGGCAGCAGGCATTTATGTGTGTATATGCGTGCACACATGTGTACGCACATTGTTGCTGATATGATATGCTCCCTCACTTTGTTGACATGCAGTAGCAGTGGGAACTGAAATTGCTCTTTTCCCCTGGATCTTCCATCAGTGTCTCTGGCTCCTTGGCCAGAGATATGTGTGTTTAGCTCTGTGATGAGAGGCCCTGCTCATTCTTGATGCTAAGATCAGAGGCAATAGGAACTGACAGGCATTTTAGTATCCTAGTTGAGTTCAAGCCTGTTCGTGACCTTCCCACCTGTCTGCATTGTGGACTGCAAGCCCAGCTCATGTTCGTAGGGTTCTATCTGCTTATTATTTTCCCTTCCAGACTGCCTGCCTGTGAACTTGCATGTGAGTTACAATTTCACAGGAAGGTATTGGAAGATTCATGATTCTTTCAGGTATAGATATATCTATACATATATTGTCTATTTGGGTTAACAGAAATAATAAAAAAAAACTAGAGTAACTTTTCAAAACAAACATAACTATCCTACTGGGACTTTTGAAGAAAAAAACCACCAAAAAAAACCCAAAAAAACCAACCACCACACAAACAACAAAACACAACCAAACACAACCAAAAAAAAAAAAAAAAAACAACCAAAACAAACAAAAGACAAAGAATGGAAACATTGATGATTTATCTGACTACCATAAAATAGCAAAAATTTTAAATAAAATAAGCTATTAATTTTCAGATATTAAGATACTTCTGAGGTTTTAGCATAATGTTTACATTTAATTTAATAAATCAATTTTAAAATTGTTTTAATGTGCTAAAAATGTGAAAACCACTTCTGTGTTAAAATTACTGGTCATGTCATCTGAAATTTCAACCATTCTGTCACCAGTTAATAGATTTATTATAGATTTTTAGGAAAATTAAATAATTTTACAAATCTCTGAATAATAAATGGTCTACCAACTTGTGGGAAAGAAAAAAAAGAAAAAAAATAGCCACTTCCCTCAAAATGTGCCTATTCTGAAAACAAAATGCAGTTCCATAATGGAGAATAATGTAAAATAAAAGCAAGATATAGTCACAATAGAATATTGATAAAAAATTATCACAGTAGCTAGAAATACATACCTGAGACAAGAAATTTGACACTGAATTCACTGTGATTATGGTTTCCCCTATGTTCCAGAGAAGGCAGGGCCATTGGGGCAATATCCCCAATCTCTTTTTTTGAGGTTTCTAATATTTACTTTTATTTTTTAATAATTATTTATTGTTGAAAGTATTATATATGTCCTCTCCCCCCAGGCCTTCAGCACCCTATTGTCTGTGTCGATGTGTTATGCATATATGCATACAAGGTGTTTGGTTGATTACCTCCCACCTACTCACCCTCCCCCGCCTTTCCTCTGAGATTCTGCACTATGTTCCATGCTTTCATGTCTCTGGATCCACTCTGTTCATCAGTTTATTTTGTTACTTAGATTCCACATATGAGTGTGATCATGTGATACTTGTCTTTCTCAGACTAGCTTATTTCACTTAGCATGATACTCTCCAGGTCCCTCCATGCTGTCTCAAAGGGTAAGACATTATTCTTTTTTTACTGCTGCATAGTATTCTATGGCATCAATATACCACAGCTTTTTTATCCACTCAATTACTGATGGGTACCTGGGGAGTTTCCAGATCTTAGCTATTGTAAATTGTACTGCTATTAACATAGGGGTGTATCTATCCTTTCTGATTTGTGTTTCAGGTTTTTAGGGTATATTCGTAGAAGTGGGATCACTGGGTCAAATGGCAGTTCCATTTTTAATTTTTTAGGGAAACTCCATACTCTTCCATAGTACCAGTCTGCATTGCCACCAGCAGTGTACCAGGGTTCTCTTTTCTCCACATCCTCACCAGCTCTTTCCATTTGTTGATTCGTTGATGACAGCCATTCTGATAGGTTCAGTATTAATGTAAAAAAAAGTGAAATAATATCTGAAAATCTCCTCTATCTGTAGTTATTAAATATCATCCCAATGTGTGTGGTTAACCATCAGTGAGTTTGAAAATAGCAATGATAATTCATGAAAGCCTCACAAAGTATAATACCCAGATACTCATAGTAAATTGGTGTCTTGAGAGAGTAGTGAAACCACTGATAATGAATAGAATGAAGACAGAAAATAAAAATGTTTTCTGTTGGAAGAACATACCATGTTCATGGATTGGTAGACTCAACATCATTAAAATTTCCATACTACCCAAAGCAATCTATAGATTTAATCCAATCCCCATTAAAATACCAACAGTATATTTCACAGAGCTAGAACAAACTCTCCAAGTATGTATATGGAATAATAAAAAGACCCCAAATAGCTGCAGCAATCTTGAGGTTGAAGAACAAAGTTGGAGGAATCACAATACCAGACTTCAAGTTATACTACAAAGCCACTGTAATCAAAACTGCCTGGTACTGGCACAAGAACAGGCATATAGATCAACAGAACACAGACCCCAGAAATCAATCCAAGCCATTGTGCTCAATTAATATTTGACAAAGGAGGCAAGAGCATACAACAGAGTCACAACCTCTTTTTTAAATGTAATGTCTGTCAACTAATTAAACCCAGGTTGATGCATTAATCAGCAATTAATTGGTTCGCAGAAGCATGTGGATATGGATTACAAAGGGGAATCCCTCTGGCTTTGTCTATTAATGGAAAGCAATATGTAAAATAAGAAGAGATATAAGGAATCTTTGGAAATTTGTCCCTTCGAGATTGCAAAATCAATGTACCTGGGTACTTTACGAATGTGGTAATATTTTCCCCAAATGTTTTCACTTTGCATTTTTCAGCATACACCATGGAACTTTCTTTAAATATGTATTGTGCTGATATAAATATATTGTATTATATGTATTAAAAGTATCTATATCTATATAACTATATCTATATCATCTATATCTATATCATCTATATGTATTTATGTATCTAGTTAGATATCTATCTATAATATAGGGGGAATATTCAACCTGAAACCTTAAGCCGATCTTAAATGTCAAGGTGGTTTAAGGCAATGAGTCATGGTGTCTCCAGTTAACAGTCACCTCTATAAAAATGCACATTCAGATTCTCTAAAAACATGCCATGTAGGCTGAACAAAGCAGGCCTCCAGGCTGATTTCGGTGCTCCAGTTACCAATTTGCAATTCCTATCCTAAAGCATTAATGTGGTTGAAACCCAGATCCCTGAGTCAACTAGATCTATGTCCAAATAGGACTTTATCATTTATTATCTCTTTGACCTTAAGCAATTTATGTCATTTAACTTCTTTAATACTTTCATTTTCTCATTTGCAAGACTGAATGTCAAAATACTTAACTCCTAGGTTTATTATGAGGATTAAATGTATGAACAAGGTATCTAAAAGACTGCGCATATTGCACATTAGAAGAGGGAGTGATGGCTTAAGAAATAGTGGGCATTAGTACTAGTAAAAGTAATACATAGTCTTAACAAATAAAGTGCCTACTAGGTACCAAGCTGAAAAGTATCTCTTGATAATACAGAACTAGCCTTCTGCAAACAAAAATCATCATACTTAATTTTCACGCATCACGTTAACTTTTAACACACTCCAAGTTTCCAGGCTTTTCAAAAATATCTTCACTTAGTGTATGTTTTCTATTGATTTTAGAGAGAGGAAGGGGGAGAAAGAGAGGAAGAGAGAGAGAGAGAGAGAGAGAGAGAGAGAGAAAGAGAGAGAGAGAGAGAGAGAGAGACTGATGTGAGAAACATCTATTAGTAACTCCCTTACTCAACTGCCCAACTGGAGATTGAACAAGCAACCTGGATATGTGCCCTGACCGGAATTGAACCCAAAACCTTTCAGTGTATGGGACAATGCTCCAACCAACTGAGCCACACAGGCCAGGGCCAGGCTTTTTGACTTAAGGGATTGCATCTTGTTTCCCTTCATTCTGCATTAGTCTCCAAAAGCACTGCTGAACTCAAGGTGAACCTATCCAAAGAATGACAGAACAAATGCAGTCCACTGAAGTGAACATTCTTCACTGCTTTACCTTGTTCTGACAAATTGCATCTGAGTCACACCCTCTCTTGCCATCCTTTGTGCTCAAGATTTTTCCCATCTCCAATCTCAATTCAAGTTGCTATCATACCTGCCATTCCATGGCTGTCTTTTAGAACTTAGACTTGATCCAGCCCATCCAGAAAGCCTTTCTCAAATATTTCCATCATTTTTCCCATCATTTTCCCAAGTGGCCATATAAGCTCTTGCTATATCCTCCAGATACTATCGAAATTTAGCCCATTTCAAGTTCTTTATGACCAAATTTTATCTTTTTCCTCTTTACCAGATTATAAACTTAATTATGAGCAAGAGTTGCTTCTAAATAAAAATTCATGAACTATACACCCTCTTGTTTTAGCTCCAAGGACTCCTGGAGTGTCATTAGTGATAGAGTAAAAGTTTCAGAGATTAATCCATAAGGAAGCACAGTTTATTTTTCCTTGCCCTGTGAGAATTCAATTTATGCTTATTCATAAACAAATAAGCAAACAAGTTAAACAAATAACAAAAAACTTCAATGCCAGCAAACTATGAAATAGTGTCCTATATTCAGGAACTAATTATAGTAACATATTATTCTCAATATTGAAAAAGCATTGTATACTTAAGAATCCAAGGCAGGTAATTAGAACCTGAACCTAGGCAATTATATTAAACCATATTTAAGTGAGAAATAAATGCAATATATAATCAGTGCCAAAATATTATATTTAAACTTTTGGAACCTATGAACAACTATGCCTAGATCAGTAATAAATTCATAACTTTGTCTAATGGACCATCTCACAACATTATGTTTCAAATGGGTTAAGAGTATGGTATTATGTGTAAAATTATTTTAAAAGGCTTTCTATATTTATCAAACTCTTTGAAATGGTATTAATAGTCGCCTGCAATTAATGAAAAACTTCTCAAGTCTTTCTTGACTATCAGTTAAACTCCTTTTAAAATAAATTATATTGGTATTGTACTCATCTCCTTTCTACTTTAAAATGATCATGTCCTCCTATGTAAACTTGTAATCAAGGAAGAGGTTCACAGTTGTTGCAAATAAACTATAAATAAATGCTCATAGCAGTGCAATTTACAATAGCTAACATTTGGAAACAACCTAAGTGACCATCAGCAAATGAGTGGATTAAAATCTGTGGTACATCTACACAATGGAATACTATGCAGCTGTAAAAAAAGAGAAAGAACTCTTACCATTTGCAACAGCATGGATGGACGTGGAGAGCATTATGCTAAGCAAAGTAAGTCAGTAGAGAAAGATAAGTATCACATGATCTCACTCATATGTAGAATATACTAGTAATGAACAATAAACTGATGAACAAAAATAGACCCAGAATCATAGAAGCTTCAAACAGACTGTCAAACCTCAGAGGGAAGGCAAGGGAAGGTAGGCTACTTTCAACAATAAAGATTTAAAAAACTATGAATCAAACTCAAAATTTTTAAGGGAAGATGATTTAACTCTGGACCTCTTATTCATTCCTAAGAGTGTGCAAAATAATATTTTAGGTAGTTCTTAGTGAACAGAAATCCCCTTCCTAAAACTTACAGAATGTAACAATGTCCATCAATGACATCACCAACACATCCTCTGAATGAGACCTATTAATGTGGGTTCATAGTCTTGAGCCTCAGAGTCTGTGAGGAGGATTCTGGGCTTAAAAGCCATGTTTCCCATTTAGGACTAAAAAGCCTCTCAGTGGATATGAACGGTGAGTATCCCTCAGTCCCTGAGCATGGCCATTTGGGAAAGCAGGACACTCATCGTGAATCAAGAAAGAGTCTGGAAGCATAGGCTCTCTTCGGGGAGAAGAATGGAGGGGAATCTGGCCTAAAGCAAAGGTCTCGATGCTATTCTGTTTGGTCCTCGCATTGTTTATACTGTTCTTCATGAGTTGGTTTAAGTAGTTCATAAAAAGGAAGCTGGAGTTAAAGGAATAGAAGGCAGCTTATGTATAGCGAGGGCAGTTACACATAGTGGGGTGTAGGGATCCCTTTGTCAGGGAAAAGGCTGGTAATGAGACAGCTCTGGAGGTACTTCTGTAGGCAGGACTCAGAAGTAAGGGAAGGGATTTTAAACCTGGCTGTGTATAGCACACA